TATTATTATAATATATTTTATAGAATAACTTTAATTTAACTTTATTTAAAAATATAATAAAATTTAGTTTTAATTATAAAATTTTTTGCTAAAAATAAAAATAAATATAAATCTATAACTAAAATTTTTTGCTAAAAATAAAAATAAATATAAATCTATAACTAAAATTTAGTTTATATTATAGTATTATAAGTTTGTTTATTAATTATTAAACTTGAATTTGAATTAAGAAAGAGAGAGTAATAGACTAATAAAAATATTAAAAGAAAGGATATCTAAGATCTATGTCAATTTCTACAGAATTGTATTTACTAAAAGAATAATAATATGAGAGAGTTGTAAAAGAATAAATATCAAAGAGAAAAGAGAATATAAAAGAATAATAAAAGAGATTTAAAAGACTAATTCTTTGTATTTGCATAAAGCATTTCAAAACTAAAATAATATAATTAGTAATAAAGACTCTTTTACTATATTTTTCTCATGAGTAAAAAATATTTATTAATAATTAAAAATTCAAATAACAAAAATTAAAATACTTAAAATTCAATTTTAATAATTTAATACAATAATTTGTTTAGTATAATATAATATAAAACTCAATAATCTAATAATAATAATTTGTTTAATATAATATAATATAAAATTCAAAGTTAATAATAGTGATTTGCTTAATGCAATATAATATAAAGCCATTAGCAATTTGTTAAGTATCATATAATATAAAACTATTTATACACAAGATTTAAAGTATATAAAGAAAATATAAGAGATAAGAGGTATTTGGAAGAAGATTTTTGTTAAAAGAAATTTTTATTTTCAGTTACAATATATCAAGTTAAAACTCAAATAGCATCTCTATTTATATATTTTTTAAAAATACAATTTCAAATAATAATAACTATCTAAAAGATAAAATTACTAATTTAATTATAATTTAAAAAATAATTAATTTAATAGCTTTTTGAAAATTTAATTTAATAATATTATAAATAATAATAATAAAGTAAAAATTAAACTTTAATTATTATTATAATAGTAATATAAAAATTGTTAATCCCAAAATAGTTGAAAAATATAAAATATTCAAAAATATTTATATAATAACAAAAATCTCTCAAATTATTTTACCTTTTATTTTACTTTTTACTTTTTACCTTTTATTTTATCTTTTAGTTTACTTTTTACCTTTTATTTTATCTTTTATTTTACTTTTTATCTTTTATTTTACCTTTTATTTTACTTTTTATTTTACTTTTTACCTTTTATTTTATCTTTTATTTTATCTTTTATTTTACCTTTTGTTTTACTTTTTATCTTTTTCTTTATCTTTTATTTATCTCTTTATATTTTATTTTATTTTTTATTTTACTTTTTACTTTTAATATTAATTATAATAAATTTGCTTATATTAAATCTAATTATAAAAAATTAAATTTTCAAAATTAATTAATAAACTGAAACTTAATAAATATTTATATATTATATTTGAATTTAATTTTATTAATTTATATTTAAATTTATTTTTATTTAAGATTTATTATAATTAATAATAAAATAATATTAAATAATTTTTTATTTTAATTTATTATACTATATATATATATAATAACATAAAAAATAATGAAATAATATCAAAATTTATTAATTAAATATAGTAAAATATGAATTTTCTCTTTATATAAAAGTTTTCAATTTTACTAATAAATATTTTTTATTTTTATATTAAAATAAAAATAATCTTATATTTTTTAATATATATTTTTTCAGATTTTTTAGATTTAATCTGATGAAGCTTATTATTTTTTTATGTTTTAATTATAAAAAAAATAATTAACTTTATATGCAATTAGAACAATTTTATCTGATATTATCTTTATTTAATGTAAAAATAAAAAATATTTATTAGTAAAATTGAAAACTTTTATATAAAGAGAAAAACTCACATTTTACTATGTTTAATTAATAAATTTTGATGTCATTGCATTATTTTTGATTGTCGCTGTATATGCAATCAAAATTATTTTGGCCTTGACTCAATTAATTATGTCTATTTGCTTAATTAATTGTGTCTTAATTGTATCAATTTACTCAATACTTTTTAAAACATGTATATTTGGACATCCTTCACGTTATGCTTAATTATATATAAACTTTGGTTACATGAAAATATTAAAATATTAATTTGGAATGTGGCCAATTAATAAATTTAATTTTTGAGCTTGGACAAATTATATTTCAATAATTTTATTAACAATTTTATAAATAGCTCTATCGCGGGACCCTAGATTTAATAGTAGTGTGACCGAAAATATAATTTTAAAAATTTTAGGACCCGTTACCCTACCCCTATACTCTTAGTAAATGGGACCATGGAGTTCTAAGCATAAAATATAAAAACCTAATTTTAATTTTAATAAAATTTATATATAATTGTAGTTATATTTACAAGTTTTTCTAATTCAATTTTTAATAATAAACATTAAAAAATTTTAATTTGTCCAGTTTGGACAGCAAGCATACTTCACATGGTATTCTCCCAGAAAAGGAACAGGCAAGATTGAATACGATATTTGACGCAACGTTCAACTCTGCCCATATGAACAACGAAAAGATAAGCTTGCACAATCACAAGCAAAGAAAAGCTAAAAGACTCAAAAAGGCAATCTCTCGGATACGACGAGTTATTGTGCAACTACAGAATGAAGTTCATAGAAAGGCGATCAGGTTCTTCACTCACGAATTCGATGCTATTGTCATTCCTCCTTTTGAGATATCGGACATGGTGAATCATAAGACGAGAAAATCACACGAAAGACGGTCCGAAAGATGCACACTATCGATTTTGCCAACGTCTAATCGCCCAGACCGAGGAATTAGGAGTCCGAGCTACTGTCCAAAATGAGGCATATACGTCAAAAACTTGCAGTTTGTGTGGGAATATTAAAAAATCGGAGGGTCTGAAAGATACAGCTGCCGGAATTGCGATGCTTTGATAGAGATGAAAATGGCGCTCGGGGAATATTTCTCCGGGCACTGCTTGATGAAGCCTTGGTCATCTTCTGAGAATCATGCAGGAAGTTTACTCAGTACTGTTTATTATTGATCTGATCCCCGATTATTTCAAATACACGAAAAAATACAAAATACCTCGTAGAAAGAAAAAAGTTTATATATAATGAATCATACCTTTTTTATCAAAAAATGGTGCATGATTAATAAAACGCAAATTTGAAAAGCTAATTTCCCGATCAAATAAATTATATTTTTGAAAAATGACGTAATTTTATGTTAAAAATATGAATAAATAAAGCTTTCTTCTCTTTCTTTCTTTTTTCAAATAAAACTCAGTTATAATTCAACAAAAAAAGCTATGCCGCTTCACACAAATAATAAGAATATATATTCTACTTTCCCTTATCCAAACAGAAGGCGAATTAATCTTAGGCGAATTAATCTTAGCAGTTCAGACGAGCAAGCTAATAGTGACGCGGAACCTATTCAGGGTATTCAATTGAAATTTACAAATTCAATTAAAACAATAGTCCAAATATTGTCTATTTGTTTATAATTAATTAGGGCGTCCAAAAATCTACCCCAGTCACATGCAATATTACTATGGTCCTCCGCCTCCAAATAACATTCATCCTTCCAGGATTCCAAATAACAATTTTGTCCCCCAACATAATAATAATATCCGACCGGTACCGCCGTATCTTATGTCACATGCATCATCACTTATGTTTGAATCCCTTAATCCTTTTCCAGACGATGTTGAACCTTTGAACGACTTAGTTCCTCCGCTTGATGGCAATTTTCCATATCGTCCCGAAAGAAACGAATACATTCAATTGAAAATTTACGAAATTCACTTTGATGACGAAGTTTACACTTCGACAGAAATGGCTGGACCTTTTGCAGCTTTTCTTTTGATATATCGTTACATGTTTCGAAAATTTGAAGTCAAAGCGGCGAATCTTGGAAAATTTTATATTCCGATTTTATCCGCGTTGAGTTCCGTCGAAAAAGTCGGAGATCACGGATTAGCGCTTACACTCGCAAAGGATCAAAAGGATTCGGTGTGAATTATTTTTCAACTTTTGTTTTAGTAACTGTTTCTTGAGACCTATTGATTTTATTTTATTTTATTTTATTTCTTTTGTTTTCTTTAAGATTTCTATCGTATCCAATGATTCTAATGATCCCAACAAAGATCAGAAAAAACTTAGAAAACTCATTGGTAGTTATCCCTCGTTTTGACATTTACTAATAATGTATAATTAACTTATTCGCTATCTTTATTAGAGAAAACATCTACTATCATCTTTTACATGATAGATAAAATCCCGTTGGAACGTCTCGAATTAATTTGGCTACACGTCGCCTACCTGGTCAAGAAACCACCAGTATTTATCAATAACAACCATGAGAATGAAAATACTCTTTGCAAGCGCTGTCACGAAGACATGATTCAGATTGTAGAAAAGGTGAAAATTTAATTCTTTATTAGTATTGCAACTTTTTTTCTTTGAAAATTAATTATATTATGAATATATGAATAGATTGATCCAGTTCCAGATGTGGAGATCATTAAAGACACGAAAAAACAAATTATCGAAATAAAAGATACGTTTTTGGCGAGATTTCATTATGAATCAAATGATCAAGGAGACGAAGAAACACTTGATTTCGAAGTGCCAGTCTGTATGAAATATGACGAGTTTAAGAGCGCAGTTCAGTCAACTTGTGATATCCCAAAAATTCATGAAATTATGTGCAAGTTTGTCAATGAGACTGCAAATGTAGAATTTATAAAGGTTCATAATGATAATGAGTGGAGGGATGCGATTGAGTTGCTCGGAGATGCAACTGAGTTGAATTTTTGGTGGACTGAATAGATGTTTTGAGTTTATTCTTTTTTAGTATTATCGTTATCGTTATAAATACTGCTTATTGTTACATGTACGTATTAAATATTATTTCTTGTCAGTATCTGTCATAATGATAGAATACATCATGTACGTGTACATGCATAAATTTACTTGCGTAACGGTAACGGTACGTAACGGTAATAACAATACGTAACAATAACGAACGCTAACGATAAGCAAATTTGATTCCTGTTACGTACTTATCGACGATTCTTTTAATTGTATAATTAGTTTAAAAAAAAAATGGATTCTATACTTGACATCTTTTCGTTATTTAGTTTTTGGGATGTGATGAATGTCTTGTTGATTTTATTTTTTCTCTATGTTCTTAAATTCTATTTAGAATATTATACTCGCGAAAATCCTCTCGCAGGTCCATTTCCATTACCGATAGTTGGGAGTCTATATCAATATCCGGGTGAAATGACACCATGGATCTATGGCCTATATAAAAAACATGGAGATATGTTTGAAATATGGAGTGGCTCAAAACGTCAGATATTCTTAAATGATGCCAAATTAATCGACAAAATTGCGCAACAGTCAACAAAAAGCAAATACCTTGTTCGATTTGCAATTGGGCTAAATAAAGGATTGGAGCAATTCGCTGACCCACGTAGTGGAATGCTGTTTAACGGAGATGTGGTTGGATGGCGGAATAATCGTAAATTGGTTGATCATGTCTTAATGTCGCCGAATTTTCAGCGAGAAGTAATTCAATTGATTGAAAAATATTTTACAGAAATGGAAAATTTTTGGAATGGGATTGGAATGAATAGCGTGCAACATCTTTCCGTGTGGGTGAACCGACTACTCGGGGACCTTATGTTCGATTTGACAACAGGCAGACGATGCTATTTCATGGCCAAGTATTATAATAGCATTGCTAAAACGAATAAAAAAGATGTACCTCCCGAAGAAATCAAATTTTGTGAAGATTTTGTCAAAGGAAGCACAGATGGTGGTCCAGCTGTTCGATTTCTTTTATTAGCACCTGAATTCTTTTGGCGATATCTTTTGAGAAATTTGACGCGTAAATATTTGGAAACTCGCGCTCATTTCAATGCGATCTTTGATAATCTTCTTGAACAACGCCGTGCTCAAATGAAGAATTTACCCGTTGGTGCAAATCTACGACCTGATATTTTAACTCTAATCCTCAATGCTAATGCAGCGAATGAAGAAACTTCAAAGAATGAAAACAGTATACGAATGAGTGATACTGACATTAGAGACACATTAGCAGAAATTATTGTTGGTTCTGTTAGCACTGTAAGTTCTTTTTTGTGCTAGCAAGGTTTTAGCAACGGCTTAAATTGAAAACATTAATCCAAGAATATTATATTTGAAATAAGACTGCAAATGTATTTGCGTTTCTAGTTGAATACATTGGACGACATCAAGAAGTCAAAAAAAAAGTTGAACAGGAAATGCATTCAATATTTGGTCAAAAAATTCCACCAATTATCACAATCGAGAATCTTGGACAACTTCGATATTTAGAAGCAGTCATTTGTGAAGGTAAATCAAAAGAAATAATTTAATATGCAAGAAATTTTTAACTAAATCTTTGATATGTTGCATAGCTCTTCGCCTCACCCCGGGAGCATTCCTCCAACGGACAAATACCGAAGACGACGAAATCGGTGGGTACCGATGGAAAGCAGGCACTGAATTCTGTATAAACATGAAATCAATACACTTTAATCCGAAAGTATGGCAAGACCCCGAAGAATTCATTTCGGAAAGATTTCTCGATTTCGACAACGGAAAATATAAAAAAGATTTTCTATCCTTTGGCTGTGGCTTACGTATTTGTCCTGGTCGTAATTTGGCATTCACTATTCTAAAATCAATGGCTGTTTTACTCTATCTCAAATACGATGTGAATTTACTTGATACTGAATCGCCGATAAAGTGTAAACAGGTTTTCTTAAATCAACTTGATTGTTTTGGAGCAAGAGTGATTCTTACGCCTCGTTATGATAGATAGGGCATGATTTTTGTTATGTTTCTTAATACAATTTTAATATATTATGGATCAATGCTAGTAGCGCAGTCACAATACTTTGCAGTGGCACTTTTGATGAGTGGGTACACAGCGAGAACCTAATAAAATGATAGAACCGAATATTTCCCCTCGATTTTTCGAAAACTCATTTGATTTTAATAATCCAAATTATGGGAACTTTATTTTTGGAGGACCGATACAATTCCACGATTGAAAATGTTGCTTTAATCAGTCCACAGATTCGAGTAATTACAAAAAACAGCATTTGTTTAGCGTTGTTTGCGGGTTTCTAATCCCCACTCTTGAAGCAAAAGTTATATCGAAGATTTTGAAAACTGATACTCTTAAGCGATAAAAATATAGTCTTCTGAAAATGGAATCAAAAACTTCATTGAAATGGTCAACAGGTGCTTGACTTTTATATGAAACTATACGCATACAAGTGTATAAATTATAAATATCGAACTATTTTAGCGTTAGCGTAAATTCAACAAACCAGAAATTTGCTGTTGAACATGTAAAAAAACACCCAAGTCAAAACGATTTTTGCTCGGAAGCGCTTATACGATTGAAAAAGAACTTATGACAATATAAATTTTTCCCAAAAATTTTACATATTAACCTTTATAAATCCTTTGCTATCGCTATATCAAAATTTGGTGTGACAGATATCGTTATCAATGAATTAATTGATCTGCTCATTTATTGGACATGCACAAGAACTTTCATTTTGAGATAAGTAGCTTTTGCTTACAATAAAGTATTATAAGTGAAATAAAGAATACAAAAGTTGTTGTATTGAATTTTACTTCAATGCCAATTATATTAGAGTTCATTAACAGAAGAAAAAAAGACGATTTCTAAAGTGTAAATATGACGCTTTTTATTTTCAAATCCAAATAAATTGTTTTAAAGTACGATTATGATTATTATGGAACAACCAAAAACTGGTCACGATTTAATCAATGGCCATTTAGACTGATTTGTACCCTCTATATCGATATGGGATATGGGAATCTTGTATTCGGTATACTGTAACGCAGTGTTGATAAACCAATGGACTGGCTCAATGTTCCATTGAGAATAGTTCATGGTTCAGTACGATCGCTGAACTAGATCAAGTCCATTGATAATTGAAGATATATGTAAGCTGCGCCATTGGTCCATTGATAACACCGATGTATACCTCTGGTAGTATTGTACCCGGTGCAGATCTCAGTTATTAACACAGCAAATTAACAAAACCACTTAAAATAATATTGATACTATTGACAAATTATTATCATAGAGAATTATGGAATTTAAATAAATGCAATCAAAAACCCTAAAGAAAAAGTCAAACTACAAATATTTACAGTTTATAAATATGAGCTCGTAACAAATGAATGATGATTGGCAAGCAAGATATATACGTACATGTATTAGTACAGTCAACTCGCGTTCGATTTAATGGGAGTTAACTATGTATTTTAATTAAATATATATAATATAAATAAAATATGTGACTGTTAACCTATATTATATTGATTTATTTAAAGATACCTAGTCAACTCTCGTTAAATCAAAGAAAAATATAGTCAGTTTAACGAGTTAACTGTATTATGAATAGGAATAATTTAAATGGCACATCCATGTACTTTGCGCACCCTGCAAAATGCATGGTGTATCAAAATAATTTTACAAAAGTTGTAGGCTTTAAATAATAATATAAAACTGTGGCACACTGTACAACATTAACAAAAATCACACTAAAATGATAAATGAGAAAATTAATAATTAAATTACAATTGTAATTAACCAAAGTTAAGAAAGTTCATAATCATATACGTAAGTAGAAAACATTCCACTGTTTAATGGTAGAATTTCACCTTTTAATCATGATGATTCTCTTAAAAACAATGATCAGATGATATTGATATAGAACAAAAGAATTTTATTTTGAGCACCAAAAAAATTATCTCGGTTAAGGACTGACCAAATCCAAAATCGAGAGATTGTTTTATGGATAGGAACGTTTTGAACAGAAAAAACTGTTTAGCATCATGTTCACTGATATCGATATTAAAAAAGGTCTGTACAACAAATAAAATCCTGGAAGATTCATTCGTAGTTACATTTTAATATAAAGCAGATCTCCTGAAGAAAGCTCTCAAGCACAAATAATGTACATATTGATATCAGATAATTGGACCGATAAAACATGACCTTATCATGATAAAAAACATCGTAACTAGTTTATCATAATCATCATACATTTACACAATAAATAACGATAAGGCGCATGCCAAAAATTAACGAAGGAAATAACGGCACAAAGAAAAAAGACATGAATATCTTTTTGAATAAACTTTTAAGAAATAAGATTCAATGTTTTTAAGTGTATTGAACTTAAAGTTAAGACCTGAGATAAATTAAAAATTACGAAAATATCTCTTTGGCCAGAAAAGAGATTGAGAATCAATAGGAGAAAGCTGTTCACTAAGCCTGATCAAGTGTCAATGTCTTTATCACTTCATTTTTTTAAATTGATAAAATAATTTTTCATATTATATAATGAAGCTGTAAAAAAAATTAGTTCTGTTGAATGGAATTTTCATTTGTTTTGAGAAAGTCGAAATTAAAAACAAAATTTTGTATTTGCAATTAATTATTTGATCAATCACACTATCAAATCAAATATTTAATTTCTCAAAGCTTAACGTTAAACTTATCAATTCTGGTAGCGCAGTGAGAATTTAATAAATTAATTGATTTTTAATAGCTCAGAAATGGTAGCGGTAGCACACAACATAATTACTAACAGAACACAACAGCAACACGGGAAGAGGTCGAATTTCATCAAAAGAACTGTTTATCAATATTGTAATGTGATTTGTTTAAGTAAGCCAAAAATCTTGAATGTTTGGAATTCAATTCTGAAACTTCCGAATGGAAGACACCATTTGTGGGGATACTTGATTCGTCGTGTTTATATTGAAAAATTTAAGTGGTCTAAGAATTAATAATTTCGTTAAGTTGTTGGTTTTCCATCTTTATATGGTGCATAACATCTAAAGTCATCAAACATTTGTATTTTGTAAAATGGATAAACTTCTTTACTAAGAAGCAAATACAAAATTCAATCCGTGAATATGTTCAGAGAGGGCCCATTCCATCATATTCACGGATTGAATTTTGTATTTTCCTCTTAGTAAAGAAATTCATCCATTTCATAAAATACAAACGTTTGATGACTTTAGATGTTATCCGATAAGAATTCAAATATACATGTAGACTAGACCCTTGAATAAATAAATAACATCCTACTTATTTTATATAGCACAAACTTTGTCAAAACATCGTCAAACAAATTTTATAAGTGTCATACATGTACAAAGAGGTCCGGTTCAAAATTCTATCGTCACTGGACTTTATTCAATTTTATTGGTTTTCACGTCATGTAATTAATCGAATACGTACGTACATAGCGAAATTAATTATCGGTGTTTTTTTGTGATTATGCATAACATAGTGACACAATAACAAATACGTAACGGGCGATTCTCGGTGTGTGCATGCATACTATATACAGAAAGTCGAATAACTTTTTTTCTTTATTTGAATTTGTATAAATTTACAATAAAAAGTTGATTCCCAGAGAATTTCTTGGCCCCTTTTTTAACTTTGAATTTTTCTAAACCTGTATAATAACGATAACATTTGTGGAATTTAGAAAAAAACACACGACGACGACGCTCTATTACTATTAAAATGGTATTATCGATTCTACAAATTGGAATATATACAGGGACAATTACAGTAAGTATTCTCAATAAATTCAAAGTGCTAATGAATAAAAATAATTCAAGTAAATAACGAGATATTACGGTAACTTCAAACAATAGGTATACATAATCACCACTACGTTCTCAATAACAACACACTGGAATAAAAAAATCGCGAGTCTCCCAAATTTTCTCAAATTTATATTTAATGTCTCTGGGCTTTTTCGAACTGTATTAATATTATTATCGGCGTACTATCTATCAGCAACAGAGTTATTAGAATACAATAGTGTCGATAGTGATAGTCACTCCTATTCATTAGTATATTTTTTGCTTGCCGAGTCGATACGTATATTGAATTACGTATTTAGATTATCATTGGTGGCATTTCTGATATGGCGACTTGAGCAGATACAAGATTGTAGATTTGATATACGAGTTGGCGCTTTTTTGTTTGTGATGATGGCTGTTGGACAGGTAAATGGAATATCTTATCAACTGTAAGCATTCGGTATAAATACTAATAAAAATAAAATTCGATAGCTTTTTCAATTATTCACTTGTCAACAACCACGATTTATTGGACAAGGCATCGACAATTATTACTGTTGGGATGCTTTAGAGGTCCAACAATCCCTACCGCACTGGCCATTTATCATGCTCGATCTACTATTCGAACTATTCTTCACTTCAAGACTCACGAAGTTTCTAATCGATGCAAACACGAATACTACCTTACTTCCAGAAAACATGAGAAAACCCAATCAACGAACAGTATTCACAGCCGTAATAGTTTGGAACTTGCTACGACTTTTTATCAGTATCCCACTGATCATGCTTTCTGCATACGAAGTCCCCTTAAGAACTAATTACGTAAAAAACGCGACAACTTTTATTGGCATATTCGCTTTATTGAATATAGCTTTGACGATCGTTATGACTTTTGATACGGAAACAGTGCGATTTTTCGAGGGAAATCCTTCGTCGTATCATAATAATAATGTTGATGATGATGAACAATATGAAGAGTTGGAGGAAAGAAGAGATTTACTTACTAGTGATAATGGTGAAGTACTGGTGACGTCTTATCCAACAAGTGAAATCAGTAGTTTTGATGAAGAGGAGATTGGCAATAAGGTCTAAAACCATTGAACAATAATTTGCATTATAAAAAAAAATACTAGTGGCTTATTCACAAGATGGAATTTTAATACATAGCGATAGCGATAGTGATAGGGACACCGATTTAAAAAAATTCATTGAAAGATACAAATTCATTTTATCATGTAACGGTAATTACAAAAAACTGTATACGTACGTACTACGTATCTATGTCTAACGCCAATGAAAGTTCTCGATATTGAACTAAAGAATAAAACTAGTTTTGCTAATAAGAGTTATTTTATTAGACATAATCTGGGTTGTAACTTGAATATGGTTTTATTTGCATTTTTGGTATCTTAGCCTAAATTGTAAAAGATAGCATCTCTCTTATTCAGTTCATTTTTCAAAGTTCCCGTAGTCAAACCTACGAACAAAATTACGAAAACCAGTGTTGTTTTTGTAGGTGATCAATAAAATTCTGAAAAATTTATTGGATTTCGTGAAATTTAAAGAGCACCTAAATTTTTTACATTAAGCAATCAGAGTTGGTATAACGGCCTTTTCTTTGCATTAAATATACTGAATGTATATAATGTACTATAAAATTCCAAGAAAGTCACCAAGAATCCTGTCAAAAGTTCGTTGGAACGTAGTAATGGATTGAAATTATGAAAGATTGGTAGGCTACGAATTACAAAAGATCGAGTCAATTCTAAAATCCAAGACTTCTGCTGTTCTACCATTTTATTGCCTAATAAATATCGATATCGATGTCGATATTGATATTATTTACCAATATCCATATCGATATATATCGATATTGATATCATCGTTATTTACCAAGATTAAAGTTGGCACAGCGATTACCGTTACTATATTCCGCGAATTTCAAATAATTTGTGAAAACCTACATTCATGCGACGAAATGATGAAAACACGAAATATTTTCAAGATCAAAAAATACGAAAAGAAATTAGTCGACGAATTAATTTTTTTTTGAGAATTCTTAAATTCTAATTTGAAACCAGAATTTGTACCGTAATTCGCCTTGCAAATTACCAGGATTCTCTTATCAGCCACGCGTGTTTGACTGGTAGTGTACGTTGTATGGGGGAGGGTATACTATTTGGAGGGTCTTGCGTAAAGGGGATACACTAAATGGTAACATATGCGACACAAATCATATCGATATGTAAATCGTAACAAATCTAGAGGCGCTTTAACTGTCGCGAAACTATTTAGACACATGTCTTAGACGATGGTGGAAGGAATAAAGTCGAGAGGATGAGCTCTTTGTATAATCCCATAAGATACTATGTTCGTGATATTGATAAGTTTCAAGTAAATGAAATCAAGGGATAATTTCGAAATTTTATCTGATACTCATTTAAATAGCTGAAATCACTCATTTGATACAACTTCAGAAGCCCCTGTGGTGTAGTCGTTGCACGGAACAAATCTTCTACTTGATGAAAATCATCGACAAATCGTTCAGGACCTGGTTCAATTCCAGGCAGGGGCCTTTTTTAGCTTTGCTAGCTTATAAAAATTTATTTATTTGGCTTTTATATATATTAATATATCGATATACAGTGGCAATCGAAAGAAATGCAACAGCATCAAAATGTATTAATAAAACGGGGGTTCTCTCCAAGTTTTCAATCTTACTAGTCAATATTTCTTTTACAATAACTTCGCAATTAGAAGTTTGAATCCAAAAAAGTCGATGTTAAGATGTAAAAATTTTGATATCGATATAAAAATAAAAAAATATGGATTAGTAAAATTGAAAACTTTTACACAGAGAAAAAAAACCCGCATTTTACTATCGCTAACGTTGACGCCGTCGCATTCATGATTTATATTACATATACGATGCGATTCGGTTAGATAAAAAACAAGACATCAGATAAATAATTATCTGTTGTTTTCATTGCACACATATCTGTATTACCTTTCCCTAATTGTTAGAAGAAACTTATTAACCAACCAAATGATAATAATTCATTGCAAAAAAACAATACAGTGCATCCTGTTCTCACTGCAGGTGGGATTGTTAATTCGGGGAAAGAGCATTAATGGCACCAACCAAACCCCCTTGAAAAAAAATAAGCTTTGAAAGCCATCAAGAAAATTCCTATATACTCTGTGCTTTTGTTTTTTTGTGCTTTAATAAAATATATGTTACCCACTTATTATCGTTATTATAAATACTTGTGATTTTCTGTGTATCCACATGCAGGGATTAGACACAGCGTTATATCACCATCACTTGCTTTGTTTGGTGACACACATGATTGTGTGTATATACTACGTACAATAAAATAATCGATTAACTTTAAATGGAACTTTTCTCACACAAAATTTATAATAGTAAAAATAAAATATATTCCTATTTTATACGTATAACCCTAAATACGTATCTGACGAACGAAAAAACAACAATAACGACTATATAAAACAGTAATAACGACAAATAAAAATTTAAATAATGGTCTCAGAATTTTTGCATGAACTTTCTCACGATTTCACAAAACTACTCGAAAATAAACAAGACTCGGACTTTTCAATTACTATTGGTAGCGAACCCAATGACGTAAAAGTTTTCCATTTGCATCGGTTGATTCTGCGTACTCGGTCACCGTTTTTTGCGGCTGTTTTTGATAGCAAGAATTCGACGACAACGACGAAGACGATAACTAATAGAGGTATTGTTGGTATTGGTGAATTCTCAAAAAACGCCGATAGTTCTAATAATCAATTGGCAATAAAAAATGAGGATCTTTTTAAGAATACTTCGCCTGCTATTTTTGAAGTGATTGTCAAGTAAGTGCATACTAAACTAAGATTGTTAAATAATTTTTTGATTCCAGTATTTTATTAATAATACTAATAATACTCGTTTTCATTTTATAAGATTTCTTTATGGTGGAACATTTAACGCTAAGTCATATAGTCTCGATAAATTATTTGAAATTCTTGTGACTGCACATAAATTCAGGATTAAATCTCTTTCTTCATACCTCGAAGAATATCTAACAACAAAACGAACAGATGACCTACGACAGAAATTCGCTCAACTCACAAAAATAGTTGACGAGAATTCGAGTCTTACAAAATTACAGAGTTTTCACAGTGACGCGACAGAAAATGCCGCAGAGACGATATTTGAGTGTGAGGATTTCACGTCGTTATCGGAAGAGACTCTTGTTTCACTATTACTGATCGATTCACTTCGATTAAAAGAGATTGAAATTTGGAATAAAGTTATAAAATGGGGAATATTTCAATGTCAAAGTTCGCCCGCAGATCTTTCGTCGTGGACTCCACGACATTTCGAGACTCTGCGTGGAAATTTATCGCGTTGTATACCGTTGATACGATTCTTTGACATTTCTTCGGAAGATTTTCATCAAAGAGTTTTGCCCTTTCAACAAATTATTCCGGATCAGATATTAAAAGGGCTAATAGACTATCATAGAGCGGGATACGCACCAATAACGCCTATGCTTCCTTCTAGAAGTCCATTTATGTATTCGTCTACACTGCTACGAAAACAACACGCGAAATTTCTATCTCGAGCTATTGAAGGATCATCATCCTCTTCAATAAACGGTATTTCCACACCGTGTGTAAATAACACATCACAATACTCGTATGAATTTCGATTGATTCTACGAGGCAGTCGTGATGGATTCTCCCCTGCAGTATTTCATCGATTCTGTGATGGAAAAGGACCAACGATAACCGTCATAAAAATCGCCAATTCTGAGAAACTGATTGGTGGCTATTGTCCATTCAGCTGGCAATCGAAAGGCGGATTTGAATACACGACCGAGAGTTTCATCTTTCAATTACACGAACAAACGTGTAAAAATGGAATCTTGAGTCGTGTCGTCGATCCTACGAAAGCGGTCTATTTCTGGCAAAATTTTGGTCCAGAATTTGGAAGTGGATCCGATTTGGCATTACGTGAAAATTTCAAAGATCCTTCACAGTCGTTTTGCCGTCAGAAATCTTATGAAGAACCCATTATTCCTGGTGCGGATAGACGTAGAGTTCATTTCACTACGGAGGAATACGAAGTTTTTCAAATTGTGAAAACTCGACATGATCCCACGTATAAATTCTAGTTACTATGTTCAATCTTACAATTTATAATATTTGAGCATAAAATTTAAAAAATTTCTTCAATAAATTCAAAATTAATCAATATTAACATAGAAAAAAGAACAAAAACAGTCGTTATTAGCCATATAATATATATAGCGATAATAGATTCAATATAATATATAGCGATAATAGATTCAATATAATACGTATATAGCGATACTAGTTTCATGCATTATTTCAGGTGTATGACGAAATTCCATGATTTAAATCAGTTTTTTTTTGGTATAAGACCCCCCTTGTGTGACTCGATAAATCCATTGCTCTATCGAAGATATAAAATGGTGACAAAATTTCGCATGTAAAATTTACTAATAATGTCGACTCTAGTTCCCACATACTTTTCAAAAATCTCCAAACTTTATCCTGCTCATGTACAATCAAATCAAACTGCGCGATACAACCAGCTAGTAGAAACATTTAAAAAGCGGTATGACGGTTGTAGCCCCTCCTTCATCGCTCGTTCGCCTGGACGTGTAAACCTTATTGGGGAACACATCGATTACACGGGATTCGGTGTTTTGCCAATGGCCATAAGTCGTGATGTACTTATTGCTGTTTCATACAATGATGATGACGATAACGGCGAAATAGTTGTGGAAGTCTCCAATATGCAAAATACACGTTACCCGGACAGAAAATTTGTGTATCTGGGTAAAGAACGTGTTGTTGATATTGAAAATGAAGAGGGAGTCGTGGAATGGAGTAATTATTTCAAGTGTGGATATAAAGTAAAGATTTTTTTTCGTGGCATCGTTGTTTTTTTCACTTCTCATGTGCCTTAGGGTGTACTTCAACACCTTAAATTAGATCATCCTAAAGGAATGCGTTGTTTGATTGATGGGAATGTTCCGGAAGGTAGTGGGTTGTCTAGTTCGGCAGCGTTTACTTGCTGTGCGGTGTTGGCTACTTGTTTTGCCAATAACGCCCAGTTGAATAAAATTCAATTGACAGAGATTGCTGCCTCGTGTGAGAGATTCATTGGACTTGGTACCGGAAAGTAAGTAATTTGTCTTGTTTGATCGTGGATGGTTTTTAAATCTTTTACTAACTTATAGTTAATTCAAAAATTGTCGCATTAGCATGGATCAAACAGCCTCCATCTGCTCTCTTCTCGATCATGCACTCTACGTAGAATTCCTCCCCACACTAACAGCAACACCCATAAAATTACCATTCACCAATCCGCCTCTGGCATTTGTAATCGCCAATACACTTGTCAAGGCCGACAAAGTAACCACCGCGCCTACAAACTACAATCTACGTGTAGTTGAAGCAAAAATCGCCGCGTATTATTTGGGCCGACAACTTTTCAACACAGATTGCGAGATCTTACGAAATGTGGTGGATTTGTACGATTCTGATAATCACGAAAAGGTCGTCACTGTGGAAAAATTGAATGCACTTTTACGCGAGATTGATCGGTTATTTGAGAAGAAACATGAAGGATATCGATTATCGGAGCTTTCGATTCTTTTGGGGTTGGATATTTCAGAAATCAAGTGCCGATTTATTGGACAGTATATTATACGTGCAGAAACTTTCCATTTATATAAGCGCGCGAAACATGTGATAGAAGAGTCGTTAAGAGTATTAAAGTTTTATGAGGCTTGTGTACGGGGTTGTGATGCAGATGATGAGGATAGCAAAAGCGAAGAGTTATTTGACACACTGGGCAAGTTGATGAATCAAAGTCACATAAGCTGTCGTGACCTTTATGATTGTTCGTGTAAGGAATTGGACGATCTTGTCGAAATATGCTTGGAGAATGGGGCAAAGGGAAGTCGATTGACTGGCGCCGGATGGGGTGGTAAGTTTTAGGTTTTGAGATTATGTCGGTATATTAACAGTAACGATATGTTTTCCTTATTTCAATAGGATGTACCGTATCCTTAGTTCCTTTGAATATTGTTAATAGTTTCATACGTAATGTTCGTGAGAAATATTATCAACCACGGTTTCCAAATCTAAGCGAAGCAGAATTAGATGATGTCATATTTGCGGCTACTCCGGGAAGCGGGGCGGCTGTTATCATTGGTTTATGATAATGTTGAATAATGAATAAATAAAATTAATAAGAGAAAACACTTTTATTTACTTCTGCTAATAATACCAAATCTACTAATCTTGCTTTATATTAAATATAGTAATCTGATTTTGAAGAAAAAGATAACTATAAGGTAATGAATAAAAGAATAAATATATAAATGTGAAGGTGATAAATTTATCAGAAAAAAAGACTACTAATATATTATTGAATATGTTATGTATCGTCTTATGCTATTTACAAGGCGAACTACATAATAAATAAAAATGTGAATTTTATATATTATTCGCGGAATAATATAAAACACACTTTACATTTCGTATATTATTATCGTTGTTTTGAAGGTGATGATGTGTGAATTAAATATATAGGGATATTACAACAATTTAAAGATTCATTATTCATCCACATAACAAAGATTCATCTACAACAAATATCCAAAGACGACAGCCAACCACGCGCATATATACACAGACATATAGCCAAGAAAGACCCATACACAATTCGCGCGTCGAAAAAAGCACTACTTAAATTCAAAAACAGTATCTTGATCATCGTCGTTATCGTCATCGTTATCCAATGCATTAAGAAAGAAATCACAAAGCTTATCGCTTTCCCGAAATTGTCGTGTTATTGCCTCCTTCTTGCAATAATAATTGCCGAGGATAGCACGAAACTTTAGCATTCTACTCATATCACCGTGCGGATGAAGTATCTGTTCGTACTGCTTTGTTTGAAACAGTTTCGTAATCGATTCGAGACTGCTCACTGCTGAATCACTCGCCTCTTGATAGCTGTTGTCGATCAACTTCCACGAAGAGTAGGGTATACATTTTTGTTTGAACAGTGTGACCATTGATTCAAGTTTTCTCAAGTTCTTTTCGGTGTCTTCGTGCATCTCATTTACTAGATTTGCTGCGCGACAGTGATTGGGAAGATGTCGATCCGAAATGACTGCTCTTGCGTAGACTCCCTCTTCGGTATTGCGAAGTTTGTAACGATGTTCTTTTGTGCTCAACAATGAAGAAGTGAGTGGCTCTGTGTCGCGTACATTTCGAAGTGTTTCACGAGATAAAACTTCATAGCAGCGGCGTTTTTTGAGAACACTTCCGCCTTTTTCGCCATCGTCTTCTCCGTTATCTTGAACGATTTTTCGTTTCTTTGGACCTCTGATCTCTGACATTTTTGTGCGAGTGTCGGTTTCCGTGTAGCTTTTCTTCCAATACAGCAAAGAACAGAGATAATGCTTTATAGGTCATTTGTTTACATTAAGAAGTGATGATTTAAAAATAAATTTGTTGACTCATGTCACATGTTTTTATATAGCAATGTAGCATCTTTGATTGGTTGAACGACGCGAGAGAGGCTTGTATATGTGTCATTATTCAAGTTGCGTACGTATGTGGTGTGGTGAATGAATAATAGAGCATACACGCCATATACCCTCCACCGCTAGTAATCTATAGTCCGCACCCAAAAAAGTCAAAAATAATGGAATTTTTACAAAGAGGATATAAAGGGTTACTGGGTGAAAAGGGTCAAACACAATCTGCAGCAGATACTGTCATCAAATTATGTGATCGTGCAAGCAATTCTACGTTGTTGGAGGATAGGCGAGCAGCTGTGTTAGGTCTAAAAGGTTTATCACGCGAGTATAGACTGGTATGCATAACCACATATACTTATATCTGGAGAAAATTGATATGGTTATAAAGTAAGTTACTACTACACATATTTGTCACCTCCTCAAAAGGAAGTAGGAGAAAGTGGTCTACCGGTTCTTTTGCGTATTCTTGATGAAGATAAAGATGATATTGATATAGTGAAGGCGATTTTGGAAGTTCTTAATATTTTATGTACACCAGAACGCCAACAGGTATTTTTTTTAAGAATGTTATTATTGTTGCACAATCATCTTATTTCTTTACTTTATGTTTTAATGATCCAAATTCCCTAATAAATAGGAGCCTTCTTCAAATCTAGATTTAGGAGTTCGATTCACAGATGAACTTGTAAACGTAAGTATGAATAAGACGCGCGCTATGATCATTACAGTTGCTTATCGGATTTTTTCTAATGAGCGTTTTTATTTTTTGTAGGAACCAAAAAGTATACATTTACTATTAGACCTCTTGAAGCAATTCGATTTCTACGTTCGATATCACGACGTGCAATTGTTGTCGAAGCTTTTGGCGACTCGGCCAGAAAAAGTGCAAGAATGTGTGTTGACTGCTCCGATGGGAATTCCGCGGTTAATGGATTTATTGAATGATCGTCGTGAGATTATTCGAAATGGTGTGTTGGTTGGATTTGTTTGTTTTTCTTATTACTGTTTTGAAGCAATTTAAATTAAATATATTTTCATCCGTGGATTTTTTAGAGGGCCTTTTATTGCTAATCGCCCTAACAGAAACAAATGCCGAAATCCAAAAAATTGTCGCATTTGAGAATGCTTTTGAAAATTTGCTGGAAATTATTAAGGAAGAAGACGACCTGCATGGCGGAATTATTGTTCAGGATTGTTTACAATTAATCGTTAATTTGTTGAGATATAATGTCTCGAATCAGGTTTGTTCTAATTAAAAAAATTGCACCAAAACAATTTGTGATCTATGTAATTTTTATTTTATTGTATTTACTTTATATATATATGTATGTATAATTTCATCAAGAACTCTTTCAGAGAAACGAGCTGTATACAACGTATTCCTACACTCTTGGGATATCCGGTTCAGGATCAGCAACAAAAATCCACTCCTAAAGAACCCATCGAGTTCCTAACACAAGATTGGCCCGACCAACTTGTCAATAACACATATGTACTACTGGAACTTATCAGAATTTTGGTGGTTCCGAATAATACGAATACTGTAAAAAATCAGGTATTGTTTTGCGTTAAAAATCTAAGATCAATAACACTTGAGAAGAAAAGTCAATCAATCATTTTATGGGGGATTGGTTACGTGTCTTTATATTGTGATGGATTCTCTTCAATACTTAATTTAATTAATCAATCAATCAACTGTTACTAAAGAATGTAATGCATCACTACAGCGTGCTGAAGCCGATCATTGAACTTGCACTGGCTTCGAATGCGCCTTCCCCATTAAAAGCTCAAGTAAGTCGTGTATCTTGTTATGTGCATTTGTCGCTTCCTTTTAAGCAACATATTGAGCCTCTAAATATGGCTCCAATAAATCATTAATCAAATTTGATAAATAGGCTCTCTATGCCTTGGCAGATCTCATTAGAGCAAATCAAGCGAGCCAAGAGTACCTAGAAAAAATAGTGATCAGTATCCCGCACGTGCGAGAACAGTCTATGCAACAAGACTTTCGATTGCCGCCTCGGCCTGCTGTGATGGCTCTTATCGCAATTGCTGTCGGGGCTGAACACGTGGAGAATTATGCTACTCGTGCTGCTGCTACTTATGCTTTTGAGGTTTGTGGTATTTATTAAAATGTGTACCTGTTGCATGATTATATTAGGTTATTCGTTGACTTTTAATACCATCATCATTCAAAGTGCTATATATCTAACAACTCAGAAGCACAAGTAGTTGTGGCATCTACATTGACTCCACCTCCGGATCTTAATCCTGATCCGGATATATTAATAGGTGAACATTATATTTCTTTTCAATATCTCTATTTTTTGAATTATGTTTTGACTAACTATTACATGGATATGGATTCACCTCGTTGAATTATATGAGTTCAGCCAAATCTCAATCAGCCGGTACACTACTACTCTCTGCAATTCTGGAATGGGAAGAATCCGCCGCTGATCCATACGTCGTATGGTTCGCATCCGTGATTTTCTCGCATATCCTAAAAAACAATGAACGCGCCAAAGAATACGCACGATTAATAGACACAGGAGATGTTGAGAACGACGAAGAGGCTGTCTCGTTGTTACATGCTATCGCGGGAAATTTGATGATAGCTACTCGCAATAATGCAGACGTGCGCGTCTTGATTGGATATTTGTGTTTGTTATGTGTTTGGTTATGGGATAGTCCGAAAAGTGTTCGAGATTTTCTATCAGAAGGGTCTCATTTGCAGATTGTACGATTTCTCTTTTTTTTTTGTCTTTCTTTTCATTATTATCGATATATAAATAGCTCGTTTCTCTTTGGTATTTTTTTTTTTGGCATTAGCTCATTACACCAATAACTCAGTCATCTGGTGTCGATGCACGAGTACAAGGTCTCTGTGCATTTCTATTGGGGATATGTTATGAATTCAATGATGAAAAGGATGTTCCTATTAACAGGTATTGTCTGTTGAATTATCTGTAAAATAAATATTTATAGTATTGTCTAAATTTTCCATTCAACATAATATTTGTAGATCTATGCTTCAACCGATTTTACAAAATCGAATCGGCGTGGATCAATGTATTAATCGTATCACGCGGCTTCGAGAAATTCCTAATTTTAAGCACGTTTCTCAGTATCTACAGGTATACTAATATTTTATGAAATGAATTAAATGAGTGATGTGTTTTATTGATTTTTATTTTTTTGGGTTTAATGATAAGGTTACTCCGGAGGAAGAAGAAAAAGGACTGCCTGATTTATTTTTCGACTATTCATTCGTAGAGTTTTTTAAGAATAATTATGGTAATAATTACATCTCTTCGTTCTGCCGTGCTTCCGTGAAATAAATCTTAAATTCAAGTTCATTTTAATCTTATAATTTTACATTTTAATATCCAAAAAAAGAAACAATCCAAAAGTCTATTAGCGCCGACCCTAGAGCCGGCCCAGCACCACGACGAAGTACAGATTTAAATGGTGGCAGCGGAAACTCGTCGAATGATTACTACGATATATCGGCAGCAGCGTCTGCTGCTTCGGCAACTATCGCATCATTAAAAACAGTGATTCAGAATCAGGAACAACAAATTGACGAGATGAAAGAACAGATAAGTAAACTTAAAGAAACGTCAGAGGCTGAGGTAAATAAAGTCGCTTTTTTCTTAATACTTTTCATTCTTTTAAAAGCCGAGTAAATGACCACCATCTTTTATTACATTGGTACACAGAAAACCGCCTCAATTAACGAAATAGCATCACTAACCGCACAAATATCGTCGCTACAATCGCTAGTCACAACACACCAAACAAAACAAGCGACGTTGGAGAAGGAACAAGAAGATACAATGGAACTTCTTGCCGATCAGGATGAGACTATTAAACAATATCGTAGGCGGCTGCGGGAATTGGGTGAGGTTGTGACTGATGTTGAGGAGGAAGAGGAGGAGGAGGAGGAGGAGGAGAGGGATAGTGGAGATGAGAAAGAGGTAAATTAGAAGTAATTTTGTGACTGAGTGGTTTTTCTTTCTATTATCATTATGATTAGTCTACTTTAATTTTGGCTTTATTAGTTATGAACATATAATTTTGCAGAAGCAAAAATATATGCATATTTCTTTATTCACTTATGTATTAACAAAAAATAAACATTCTGAAAGATCAGTTACTCGGATTATAATAATAATTTATTAGATTAATATACAAAAATTTACTTTAGTATTTTTTTGATTTATTATGACACGGAATTATTGAAAAACTATATCTATATAAAATTATATGTGCTATACAAAAAATGAAGTTGAAATGATCTATGTATGCTGATGTGATAGATGTAAAACGATAGTGTATATATATAACAGCTTTTTGATTATTTTGATGAAAAAAAGGAACAATTGTTTTTTTCCGGCCATTTAAAATTCCACCCATTTAAAAAATAATAATAAATACTATGACCCCGGTGTACAATGTTCTATATCAACCTCAGGATTTCCCCACCAAACAGGAAATCGTTTTTTAGGTATCCCAGTAATCGCCAAAAATACAAACATTCCACAAAGAGACGTCCCGGCATCCAACGCGGCTGCCAACACATAATTGTATTTCCGGAACCAACCAGTGCGATAGCGTGCGGCATAAAATTGTGATAGTGCACTAGCGACTAATCCGGATACGATCACATTCGCGGGGAATTGTGGGATCTGGGTACCACCGTTTGCGATGATCGGGATGTTGATGAGATTGAAGCCGATATTTGGATATTTTTTGTGGAGTAGATAGAACGGAATGGGAAGTACGAGACCGATCGCGAAACCGAGTAGACATCCATAATACATTGAGCCGGGACCGAAAAATCTACGTGGACCGATTAAGCCCCAGATGATTGAGGCAGAATTGAATATTCGAGCTGTGCGACCAGACCATTGGCCGGTTGGATCAATTTCGGTTCCGTCCAGATAAGAACGTTTCGAATCAATAATCGCGTGTAAAACAAGGTAATTTATCACGGCGCCAATTGCCGTTGCGTAGACTTGTGTAATGAACATGGCACGCGGAGGAATTTTCATATAGTGACCAAGTTTCAAATCACGGACCATCACCAGACATTGTGCCGTCGTCATATATCCATAAGTTTTGAATACGACATTGGCAATCGGTCGACCCGGTAAAATATATCCACAAACCAATTCCGTCAAAATATTCAATCCAATCTGAGTATTTGATATTGCCTGTATGATCCCAACCGGAAGCACCATGATCGCGGCTATTAAAATCGCAAACAACACGCCCCACCAAGGCAACAAAATTGGATACACCTCGACAAATATCACCGCGACAATAGTCATCGAGATTGCAAGGCCCGCGTACCACCATATAGACACCTCCGGGTACACATTCATCATTTTATGATGTATATCATCGTCTTCCACTCGAGAATTCTTGAATCGATTCCAGATTTCTTTTCCGTAGTATAGATAGACATGAGTGACCAACGCGGTCAATGAAGTAAATGAGACTGCGTAACAGAATGCAAAGTATGGTGATAAATACATTTCTCCGTATTCTTTGTACTTCTTTTCGTCAAATTCTCCATTGATGGTAATCTTTTCTGGATCGTATCGTGAGCCGTCTTTGCGAAAAGTGTCCGGGGTGAGAGGTAAATACAATTGTGCGTCCCACACATTCCCGTAGTAAATTATTGGACCGATAAGCCATGTCATGAATATCATCCCGAAATACCAATTTGCTGTTGCCCACCACGGCGAGTACAATGGTCCAAATAGTCCAATTACATTCCAATCCAATGAAAGATTCAAAAAACCGAAACCACCACCAAACCCTGAGCCTAGTGTGGTCAAAACCATGTCTTTGTTGTTGATCAGACATAGAACAGCAATACTACTCAGTGTTGGGAAGAACAAAGTTGGCACCAGTTCCCAAATAAATGTTAGTCCGAATGCGAGCACGAAAAATTTTAGTTTTGATCCTGAAGCTAATCCGCTATTTTCGTGTAGTGTGTTAAAGAGGGCCACTTGTACTAAGTTTATGGGCCAAATCATAGACGCGGGATAAACTAAAAACTTTCGCAGTGCACCAGCCATACCATAACCAAGTAATTGTGTTGACCATAGTAGTAAAAGACTACCAAATATGCCGACATCTTGGTGATAAAATAAATTTTGTATTGCTAGAATATGTATTGCATATGCAGAAATACCACCAGTACTAGCAGCTACACTAATCAACACATGTTCTTTCATATTAAATGGGCCAGGGTTCATTGTCCATTCCCATCCAAAAAAATTACTATAAAAATATTTTAATTATTAATTAGATACAAAAAAACGCGAAAAATATCTTAATTATACAAAAATAAAATTGCTTACAAACAACGTCTAGGTAATACCGAAGCCATAAAATTACCCAACGGATAAGTGAGCAACTGTACAAAAGGTATTGAATAACTTAGTGAAGTAGATCTAAACCATGCATACTGTGATACCGCAGCTCCGAGCACCGTGAAAAATGTTCCCAAGACCCAAAATCGAAAAGTTAAGCATGGCAACGATGAATTGTCTGTAATAGGAACAACAGCTCTCACTATTGCTATTGAAGAGTTCCTTTTTTCACCTTTGCCTTTTTTCGAGCTTGATATACTTAATGCGGCCGATAATCTTTTCAAGGTATGTGGACCAAGTTCATTACTAACCGCATTTCCATTATCAGATGCAACTTCATATTCAACTTCTGTGTCATCGTCCTCATCATATTCATCACCATCATCAAATCCGTCGCCACCTGAATATTGTCTTCGTTGTTTCTCGAGATCTGAACTGCCATCATTTGATGTTTGTTCTAATTCTATCTCTTGTTCTAGAAGTTCAATTTCAAGATCTGCAGTTTTCTTTTCATTTAAACTATTGATGTCATATCCACTACCGTCATCATCACTACCACGTTTTATGTCACTGCTACCTCTTATTGATTGTGAAGGCGATTGATATGAAGTATTAGTATTTGAAAATCTTTTTATTTGTTCGGGAGTTTTGACTTCGTCTGAGAATCGAATATGTCTCGAGAATTTTCTCTTTAATTCCGGCAGTGAAGAGTCTGACTCTTCGGCTGCCGCATCGTCCCAATAGTCAACTGACGGATAAGTTTTTTCTGTTGCCGTTTTTTCTGTATCTGTTGCCGTTTTTTCTGTCGCTGTTGTCTGCACTGAATCGCGTTTTGTTTCTGTTGAATCCGTTGTTGGAATGTGCAGTAATTCGAGGTTTATAGAGTCTTTTTCATTCCCTTCGTATTTATTATCTTCATGATCGCTGCTGTTATTACTGCTATTATTACTTTCTTCCATATTGTGTTATAAATAATTATTATTATTGTCTTGTAATACTTAATATTTTCTACTTCAAGAAATATTTTTGGTTGACTTGTTATTTTTACGTTGCTAAAAAGTTTAATAATAAAAAACTCTGTCGTTTGGTTATTGGTCACTTTTAGACGTCAAGGCCTCTTTTTATTTTACGCGTGTATGTGCGCGTGTTGGATATTATTTGTCGAAATATTATTTATTCGACTATTTCGGAAATTCGTCAATGTTCTCGCCTATTTTTTTCGTGTTACGACATATATTTACAAAATAGTTTTGAAAATATAAAAATGTAAGGAGAGAAGAAACAAGACGGGGAAGATGTGTGAACTTAACTAATATTTATCAAGACTTTACAGAATTCAATTTACGTGATTTTTGTAAAAGGGAACACAAATGAAAAGTAAAGTTTTGTCGAAGAGCTTTGTGTGTATGACTAAGACCCAGAAAACCCGTAAAGGAAAAAAAAACGTACTCGTGTTTGACACAAGAAATAAAAATAAAAGTATTATCATAAAAGATATTAATAGAAATAATTTATCTTCCAATTACCAGATTTATAGTAAACAATACCAATAGATAATAAAAACATAAACAATAGGACGATTTCTCTGACGCTAAGATACGACACAAAATTTCGCTTTTTCGGATAATCACCGATTCGTAGTCTGTTAAGCGACGAGTTACGGCCATGAATTAACCTGACGAATGAGACGAAAAAAGAAATGGTGAACGTGGAGATGTGAGTACATGATAAGAAGCGGAATTCGTTTATTTTTATTATCGGTTATTCTAAATTTCTCTTTCTGTTGATTGTGAAATAAGCACATATGCAGGGCGTTATTTCACAGTATATGCATACATACATATTTAGGAAAAAAGAATAATTGTATGACGCAAAACTGAATACAATTGTTGTTTGTTATCAGTCATTGATTAATAACCGATGAACAAAGAATGGGAGGAAAGGATGGTAAGTAATACAGTCTCAAAAATAACATAAAGAAAACGATGCAGGTGATGTTTACATGTCCTTTTTAAACCATAACCGCTGCTTTTTCCCAATTTGTTTATATTAAATAAATGAGTCATTACACTAACTTATTCGAAAGAATTTCCTTGCATCAAGAGCTAAAATTCGTATTACGTACTCGCTCAATGCTAAATTAAGTGATACCTTAATATTTTAGTTCCCATTGTCAAAGATCATATGATCTTACACATACAAGATCATCAGCCAAATTAGAATTTAGATCAAAATTAATAAAATAAACATTAAGAATGAATTAAAAAACCTATTGTTTACCAAACAGTCATTAAATTATAATTTAGGCCGTAACGTCGAGTCATCTTGACCTTCTTTCAAAAACCTACTATTATAAATATTATTATCAATCCTAACAGAATTCAACGGTTCCTTAGCCGCCCACTCTAACATCGTCTCATACACCCGACCATCAGATCGCCCAAGCGCTGAATGTAACAAGAAATCCGGAAGATAGAACGCATCAACAAGTGACATTATATTTGGACGTAGTTCCGCTAGCAGGGTGAGCACTTGAGTATTAAGTTGTTTTGTTTGCTGCGAAGTCAAGTACCCACTGATTAGGAATTCACCGACTTCTTTTTCCATTGTCCACAGTGCAAATAGGCTGCATACTGTGCTGAGTACCGAGCGTAATGATGGACTAGAGTCTAATAGTTTTTGTCGGGTGCCGTCATTGAAAGTATTTGTGATCTGGAGTGCAGCAATGAAATTTCTTACTAGAATGAATTGACAGTGGGCACGTGATACTTTGCTGATTTCGACAAGCATCGAGTTCCATGTACGATTATGGTTGTCTAGTTGATCGACGGCGTTCGCAATTAGGTAGGCGGCACGATGTGCGAATGCTGTTAATTGTATTTCGGGATTGTTGAAATCACTTGCTTCTTTTACGGAGCTTACTTGATTAGGATTACGTAGGTATTGTTGAAGGTATGCGGCTGTTGTGTTACTTGTGCCGGAAACTGAATCTTTGGAATTTAGCAGTTGTCGATAGTGTTTGAAGAGCTAGGTAATATAATCCAACACATAAAGTAAGAAAAATAAACTATAAATCTTAAAAATCAAATGAAATAAAACAGGAGGTAAACTTACATAGCGTGCTGTTTGTTGATTTAATATATAATTATCACCTTCCCAAGTAGTATTCGGCAGAAAATTCTGATAAAAAAGTGTAAATCCACTAAAAGACGAAAATCCATGTCCACCACACGCTCTCCGACAATCTTCAACCGCATCGACAGCCATTGTACTCGATAACGACTTTAATCCAGAACTGGATGCGTGTAAATCAGCCAACAACGAGAAATCACCCATCGAAATTTTCGCATGATTCTCATCGTACAGTCTCCGCATCTCGTTCGCGGTAAACAACATCGCGTATGACATAGCAACCACAGGAAACAGACGGTACTGTTGCATAGTGTAATCTAACACGGAGGTTTCTATGACGCGTCCGTTCGGAAGCTTTGTCGGGTTCTCTTTGTCGACAAATTGTCGCCGAATAGCCGAATAGCGGATTGCGATTGTTGCTGCGCGTGCGAGCGTGTATTGTGCTCCGACAACAATGTTTGTACGGATTAGAACCATTGTGCCGTATGAGAGTTTGTCGTTTGGTGGTTTTATGTATTTCCCTGTGAATCGTTCTACTTTTGCGAAGTTTGCGAGCATGTTGAAATGTGGTATGCGCACACGATCAAATATAACAAATCCATTATCTACAGAATTAAAGCTGTGTGAATACACACGAATAATTAACATAAATAATTCTGAATTAGTATTCAATCAAGAACAAAAATATAAATACCCAAATTTTGGTCCTATGTCTCCTACAGTAACTCCGGACAAAGGCTCATGTGTCTTCATATCACGTACAGGAACCACAAAAGGATGAGGCCCATAATCTTTGCCATTAGTCACCAATCTTGCCATTACAATGGCATGATTACTAAACCAATAAAAAGGATGTCCTTTAATTGATTGATTGATAGATTGATTTAAAGATCAATTTCAACAAAAAAATAACTCACGCGACTGCTCCCAAATTACCGACCCACCACTTTGACGCGGTCAACGTCGGCGAATGTATCTCGAATTCGTTAGTCTCCGGAATGTAAGTAGCCGTTGTCTCGAGTCCTTGTACATTTGATCCGTGTCCTAACTCGGTCTGTGCATAGCAGCCGATAATCTCATATTTTTGTGCAGGGATCAGAAATTTCTCTTGTTGTTCTTTTGTACCTTGATCTCTTAGTGTTGGAATAAACATGCTACGGTGTACGCTGAACTGTATTTTGTATGTATATCGGAAAATTAGAACTTGTAATATTCAAATTATTGTATATGATGGATCAAACGTACTACACCAGGTATATCTATAAGCCAGTAGGCTATCGACGTTTCATCAGGTCCCCATTTATTCTCTCTAATTGAAAAAACAAACAATGAGATTAAAAATCATCATCTCACTGTAGTAATGCACCTTGATCGTTTGGATCCTCGGAAAACTTCATTAAACTTCAACAGTCCAACATAAACCAAAACAAATACAATACATTGACAAAACAGTAAGCCTCTTCTCACACGCAAGAGACTTCTTTAAATACTCCGTTCGTCCCATATAATAAAGCTCATTCTTATCAAAGGTCGGGTCATTCTCAATCACCGACAACACCCTGTCCTTAATATCGAAAAATTCTTTTCCGTAAGTTAACAGCGCCAAGTCTTTGACGCTGAATGTGGCTTTTGCTCTTTCTGCTGCTAGGATGTCGGACCCTTGTGGATCGGCAGTTTTTAGATTTGGTGGGATTTTTACGAAGGATGCCATTTTATTAGGTTTGGTATCTTGTTTGTATTAATATATAGGTCACGAGAATGCCGGAGAGGAGAAAAGTAATCAGTACGAGAAAATTAAAGTTTCAATGTATATAACATATATATATATGTATTTTTGAGCAAATCCATATTTTTTTTGCTGTCTGATCTGTATAAATCAATTCCATAATCATATATTAAATTCACATGCAAATGCACGATGGTTAGTCCCAGGAAAAAATATTATCAATTGTATTTATTTCTGAGTGAAAATACACCGCGTTTAATTTTGTATCATAGTATTTACGTCATAAAACTTAGAGGAAAAACAATTGACACGTGATATGTTGTAAGAGATAATACATGTACATGAAACGATAAAATCTCGCATTATTTATTTGGGAGAGAAATGTATGCGTAGATCGGAGTGGCAAATTTTGTTGTCTTTGACTAGAAAAAATCCTCGTAATTCAGAATGGCAAACATATACTAAACCATTTCAATTACGATTCTCAAATAAATAATTGCAAAAGTAGTAAATTAATATGCGGCACCAAATAACAGCTGCCCAAAAATCCCGACTTACGACATCACTATTCACGACTGTTGCCTTGTTTGCCGTGTTCACAGTAGCCGCGCAAGGTCTATTGCCTTGTCCGGCTATTGATGATGCTCAAAGACGCGCATTGCTAGAAGAACGAAGTAGGTTGCGTCGTCGATTACAAGAACAAAATGATTTAAAGAGGGAGAAAAGTGGTAGTGGTCAGGAAGGGAATGAGGATAAGAAAGTCGTGGTGGTGGTGATGCCGAGGCGTAATAATATTTCGATTAATGAATGAGATGCTATATTCTAAGATTCAAGTTTGCGGCGTGAATTAAACGCATACACTTGAGAATGTCACTTGATACAATACATCAGATATTTATGCCTAAAACTAAAAACCAAGAAACAATTAAAGATATGCTATAACAATTGTTAAGTCTGGTGAAAGAAAAAGATTAATTCTTTTTCAATTTGCCATTATCATCAAACTCGTCCACCTCTTTAGCCTGCTTCGCCCACACTTCACCATCTTTTCTTTTCTTTTCGTCGAGCTGTTCTTCGGTGGGCAGTCGATAACTCCCGCCGATCTTGTCCCATAATGTGAAATACTGGCCGTAATTGTAGTTGAAGTATAGATGATGAAGCGAGTGGTGTGCAGCGCCGTTGATAAATGTTCCGGATGCAAAATATGCACCTTTGAATAATATATAGTTAATAATTTAGATAGATTTGCCAGCACCGATTAATTTAAATTCAAGATTACCATCGTGAATCATTATTGTCCACATATTTACGAATACAAATAGTCCGATGTAAATATATTTATGCAAGGGAAAGAGATAGACGAAAAAGTGATATGGGACAGATTGTACGTAACCATCAAAAGGATGGAAAGCATGAGAGGAAAATGGAGTCGGAACTGATCAAGTGATAATTATTAATATTATTGTTAATATCTGAAACATTTATTAATGGGCAAAACTTACTAATCCAACGATGATGTGGCTAAAAAATTTCGAGAAAAAGGTTAATATATTTCTGCTTTACTATCATTATATTCAGAAAAAAATACACAAAACTTACCTTATGCAATCTTTTATATATTAACGGAGTATGAAGCCACCGATGAATCCAATAAACACAAGCATCCGTAAAAAACAAGAAAAACCCTATAGAAAACACTGCGTAAAACCAACCATGATCTTCGATATTCTCATAGAGCCTCGAGTAACCCTTGACTTCGCCCAGAAACCAAGGCACGGTAACAAGTGTAGTCAGCGGAAAACCCATCGCCGACAGACGAATCTCTTTGCTTATTTGATTGCTTATATATTTCGGGTGTTGCATCAGATCATGATCAAATACGAAAGCGTAGGAAAGTGTCGCAAAGAAAAAGTAAAAAAAGTATGCAAACACGAGTGTCATGAGGAAGAGGGAGACTAGTTGCCGGTATATGTTGTCGCGGGGTAAAGTTGAACTGATGGCGGGTAGCAATAGTGAGGAGGAAACATGGCTTGTGTTGCCGATTGTTGTGGTGCTTTTTAGTGTTGGTAGCGGAAGAATCGACGCGTATGCATTATCGAAAAAGTATTCATCAGCAATTTCTAGAAAAATATCCATGATCCTTTTTTCATGTGTTTTCGAGGTTCTGAAAAACTCTCGAGCTATAAAAAATTAAAATAATACTTTCACAATCCTTAGAAAGTATGCTCGACGAGAAAAAGAAGCAAAAGCAGCTACGATTATAGTTAAAGAAAATTTTATAGTTCACGTTCATGATACGCAATTGTCATTCATTATAGCCTGTTTTGATCAAATCTATCATAATTAACAATTTATGTATGAACACGTGTTGGTTTTACCGTGAATGAGTCACTTCTGGCTTTTGAACCGTGTCTAACCTTAAAAATGTCAGTGCTGTCGTCACATTCTACAACGTCTACGCCTGTAAATGTAACCATCGAAGGCCTTCGAAATCAGGTATCCGAACTACAAGAAATTATAGAAGGCAAGTAAAGTCTCGAGAGTAAAATGGATCTTTATCTCCACGATCAAAAATTATTTTTGAAGTAATGTTTCAAAATCTTAGGAATTGGGAACAAAAAAACCACACCACAGATTTCAGCTGGTGTTTCGGATAAATCTACCAAAAAAGATGAAGAAAGAGTAAAAGATGAAGAATCAGCCAAAATACATTCACTCGTTGAAAATGAAAAATTGAATTATCGTATTGGTCATTTATTGTGTGCTTTGGATGCGAAAGATCAAGAGATTCTAGAATTGAAAAAGAAACTAAAAAAATGATATTTAGCAATAAATAATAAATTAAATAAACATCAAATCACGGTTCTGATCAATAATTTTTAAGTTTGACTGAATTAAAATAATTATACGTAGAATCAATCTCTCCGACTTACACCAAAACTACATAGAATCACACCTATTTATTTAATAATGTACTCTACCATTTATTATTGATGGTTCCTCAATAAGCATCATGTAAATGTTCTTTTTATATTATAGTTATATCCCTTCAATTAACCCTTTACCCCAATTAATCAAAACTCGATTACACTCATTTTTCAAATGTTGGGCTTTATTCGTGTCCCATTCCCCTGCCATCACAAATTGTCGCGCGTAATGTATACATGCTTCGCGATAGTATTTTGTGTACATGCGACTGTCGATTGCTTTCTGTTTGTGTATCCATAATTTTAAAAAAAAGCGGAATAAATAAAAAATCAAACATAAAAAGAACAAAGCAAAAAATATTTTCGTACCGCCCATTTCGACTCGTTAGGCTTTAGAAGATGTGAATCAGGATTTAGGTGATGCCGTATTAAAAATGCATCGGGAATCACCCATAATTCAGAACCAGTTATGTACATTTGGTATAAACATGCTGCTTTATTGTCATCAAATCTTTCAGTGCACCTATTTGTTTATTAAAAAGTAATTTTATTAATTTACAAAAAAATAACAGATATTAAGAAAAATACGGATACAAACCAAGGTATGCTACCTCCTTTTTTAGACACGAAATTTGGCCGATAATGCAACTCATACTCTTCAATACTATATAGGTCGCCATTCGCCCAACTATTAAGAGAAGTCGGCCCCGATCCCAATTCCCATCCATCATCTTGCAATCCCATCAATCCCCCATTCACCAAATCGAGCAATTCTGTATGTGTATCAGGAAACTCGTAGGTGGTCGCATTCTCGGTAAATATAAAGGTGGGCAAAACTATGACATCATTCTGAACCAGTAAATGCTTGTTATTCCTTATTATCGAGCGTGTGTTTGACGAAGGCCACGTGTCGTGATCAAGGAACATGACGAAATCGGAACGCGCAAAAAATCGAGCGACGTTCAAGTGAAAATTTGTGGGTCTTGGTAGGATCTCGGGATTTTTTGAGCTAATTAGACCAGCTACTAGATGTACGTCAACGTTTCGTCGAAGAATAGAGTTCTTTGTGAATATGTTTTTTAGGTTTAGTAGGGTTTTACGAACAGCTGGATCTGTTTCATCGATTGATTTTGCTGGTAAATGAAAAGTTGCAGAGATTGGACCTATAAACCAATTATATGTAAATAAATTTATAAAAAAATCTTAATTGAAAATGAAAAGAAGACAACAACTCACCCTGCCACATCTCCGTCAGTCTCAATAAATCTTCGAGTCGATTTTCAGTAACAAATGCCGTAGCAGACACATCTTCAGCCTCAGGCGTATTATACGCACGCAAATAATACGGTATCACACTGTCCGTATAAACCTGTGGCATCTTTGAATGCATTTTATTAAATCTAACTTTATCTTTGATTTCGTGAATTGGTGACAGTCCTTTTGTATCTGCAATTTTGAATCAATTAATAAAATTATAATATGCCGAAAGCAACTAGCACAGAAAACGTGCATATATATCTATCTGCTTTATTAATTACCATACGTTCTGTCAACTATAGCACTCGACTTATTCTTATTTTCCGGTTCCGTTAACGGTTGACCCGAATGTCGAAGAAAGTGTGTAAATGAAAATAAAAATACCGCCGAGAACGTCAAATACACTAGTACCAAAATCCGGGCAAGTTTCGATCGCCATAACCATCGAATAAAGTTTGTCATTGTAGAAGGCCGTGATGAAGATGGCGATACTGGTAATGTCGAAAATATGTTGAACATGACTTATTAATGCACTCTATAACTATTTTTATTAATTTAAGTATATGGAAAGAATGGTGTGATGGGACAAGTAGCCCTTGGTAAAGAATGTTTTGTCTGCTGTTATTGAATTTTTCCACACTCCAGGGTGAAAGTGTTTTTTCGTTGAAGAGGAAGTGTTATATAACCTTAAACAATGGGATTTTCGTATGCAAAGTTAATCTAACCGGTTAACGTTAACGTTTAAGGGTTAAGTATTCATCAAAAATTTACGCATCCTTATTGGTCGCCACGTGACCCGAACATTTTTTCGCGTATCTATCGAATATAGATAATATTCACTTCACTCCAATACCTCAAAAAACCCAAACGCTACCAGTGAAGAGATTTACAAAGAATACAAAGAGTTACATGAGCGTTGCAACAGTAATACTTATTACGTTTGATATACTGTTTACGTGACGTTAACTAACTTGAGCATTTTTCTTCTGCCAGTTTTTCATTCTGAGGATGGAAGACTTCGTGAATGCTGAGGCGGATCTTTGAACAACTGACATGGAAAAATATCTAAAGAGCATGTATAATTTGAGAGGAACGTGCTATCTTATGCTCAAAGTGTTCACAATACAGATGCATTTCGAATATTCTCAAACTTACTTCGCTGTTATTTCTGTTCACTTTTGCTCTTTATTCAATTATTGCCATCATATTGTCACCTGACCTCGATAATCAAAATCGATCCTTGATCTTTGATAGCTACGAGCAAGCAGCCAAAGATGTATAAAAATACGTTTTTATAGAGTGCTTGCATTATCACGCTAACCAAAAATTTGTATCATATTGATGGTTGTAATCTCTGTATTTCAATGTTCGTACACATCACAGCTTTTATAATTTTTGTACATTTCTTGCTAAATTCTTGGCCAATCAAACCAAAAAAGCACCAAGCAAATATTCCAAACCAACAAGGCGCTTGTATTTTTCCTTTTCCTTTCCAGGCGTGGCGAAACCATTTATCTGCTTCTCAATCAGCAAGGATGCTACATTTGAAAACATGGGTCGGATGAGTCATTGAATAAGATCGATAATATGATGTCTAATTTTTACACGCGGCTATTTATATGTGGGACTATGGATACTGGTGAGTTTTATATACTTGCTGCATTAGCATGCCAGCGTAGATCTATTTAGTGCCAGTCCAGGGATCTTACGTGATAATCGAATCACTGACGAGGATCCCATGCTCGTAATATAACGACGACGACAAAATAATATAAAATAATTAAATAAATTAAATAAAGGGGATAATTTTATATAATCTCTTATATTAACTTCAGACAAAGAGATCTTATCGTTATGGCACTAAAAATATATATATTAATAAAACATAGTAAAAATAAAAAATGCGGGTTTTTCGCTTTATATAAAGTTTGTATTTTTAATTTAATCTGACAAAGTTGTTCTAATTGCATATAAAATTAATAATTTTTTTTATAATAAAAATATAAAAAATTATTGACTTTATATATAATTAGAACAATTTTGTCAAATTAAATCTAAAAATCTGTAAAAAATATATGTTAAAATATATGATATTATTTTCATTTTGATATAAAAATAAAAAAATATTTATTATTAAAATTTGAAAAATCCATATTTTTTATATTTTATGATCTGTGCAAAAAGATTTGTATCTCAAAATAAAAATTAATAATTGCTTCTAATAAAAGCCATTCAGAATTTAACTAATTTCTATATTTTTTTACATTAAATAAAGAATAACCTAAATTAACTATTTATATTATTTATATTATTCTTTGTACTTTTATTCAAGAATAAATAATGCAATACTTTTCTAAAAAAAATAAAATAAAATAAAAAATTATTTTATTTTAAAAAATACATTTTAAGCATTATTTTTATCAATTTGCTATATTAGAACTTCAAATTACGCAAGCATATTGCTATAGATTTGATAAAAATATATTTTAAATTTTATAAAGATTAAATCAGTAGTTATTGTGAAATTAAGTCTTAAAGTTTAACAATTAAATTATTTATTATATATGTTTAATATTAATTTAATCAAATTTTATATAGTAAAATTTAAGAAATAAAAATTCTTTTTTTTATGAAATATATATAAATTAAAATAAATTCTAATATCTAATAATTTAATTAAATGAGATAGAATTAAAATTTTATTTTAAAAAAATAATTTATTAATAATTATTTGAGATATGAATCTTTTTGCACCAGATTATACTAATTTTATTAATATATTTTTTTTACTGTTGCATTCTTTTTAATTGTTACTATATTTGTATTTTGTTATATTCTTTAACAAAGCTCATATTTTGTATTATAGTAAAATTTATTGCTTATATTTTATTTGACAATTAATTTATTATTTATAATATATTTATTTTGTTATAAGATAAAAAAAAATATAAAATAAAATTGTAATTAAAAAATTTTTTATAGATAATACAAATATTAATATATTTATTATTGCTAAAAAAGTACACTTGATTTTGTTTAAGTCTAGTATAATCTAATTAATAATAAAGAAAAAGAATAATTAGTTTGTGTATCATATTCAAAATATTAATTTTTAAACAAAAGAATATATTGTGATAAAGTTATTGTATTTCAATATTGATTTTTTTAATTTGCTTTCAAGTAAAGCAAATTAAAAAAATTAATTTAAAAATAATTGGTTTTGAATAAATTAATTTGATCAATTTATATATTTAATAATTTTTCTTAAAATTGTAATAAATATATGCAAAATATATTTTTTTATATATTTACTTATTACTTAGAAATAAGTTAAAAAAATTAATATTAAAATTTAATAACTTTATTATAATATTTATTTATTTTATATTTATATTTATCTGGTACAAAAAGAAATATTATTAAAAAGTAATAAAACAATATTGTTAAAAAGCAATAAAACAAAATTGATAATATAAAGTTAAAAATATATTTTTATAATATATAATTTTGTATATATAAAAAATATTTTCACATTGTGAATAAAAAACAAGAACTGGAAGTTATCTTAAATTGATTAGTTTAGTCTTGAAATAATCTAGTTTTGTAATATACTTTGTATAATCTATTATAAAACATTAATGTAAAACAAAAGAAATATAAAAGAAGTCTTTGTTAATAAAATCTATCTTAAATTCTTGAATCTTATATTATCTAAAAATCTAAAATGATCTTTCGTAAAGATCTTTCAGCATAAACATCTTCCGCTATATAAATAATTGATCAAGAAACTGGTATAACATTAGTTTTAATTTCTTTAATTCATAATTTTATAATTTCATAATTTATTTACACAACTTTAGCTGATCCAACCAATATTCTCAAGGCTTTCTAGCCATTTATATAAGTTAGAAGATAAGCAATGAGAAACTCAAAATAATCAATTATTTAATTGCTTTTTTCCCCAAATCTAAAATAAATTTTTCGACAATAAATGAAATTAGAATGAAAGCTCAATCTCATGTCTAATGGAACGAAATAAATAATGAATGATACCTGAATATAACTTTCCGACAAGAAAATCATCTGTGCGTTGATCTCTTCAACAATTAAATCTTGTATCTGATACCATTGGTCTTTGCCACGATGCTGAACATGAACCTTGTAGATCCCGTTCCCTTTTCCGGGTTTGCCTTCATGACAGATATTAGCTATTAGATCATAGTGAGTATTGATATTTTCCGCGTCGGGGTCTTCTAGATCTGCATATCAAAATAATTAGTGAATTTGCACGGATGAAAAAAATAATTAAATTCCAATAAAAATCTCATACAATCACGCATATCAATATTTTTTATGGGAAAATTCACAATCGTCGGGTTCTTCTCGGCAGCCCAATTATTTTTCGTGAATCTCTTTATGTGGAAAATGAGATACTGGGGTAACTTTAGAAGGTGGTATCTACTTAACATACCGCCAGACTCCTGTATGAAAATAAGACAGCACAGCGCGTATTAGCAATTGATTTGATGTGACAAACACAAATTTGTGATGAAGAAATAGAAGAAGCTGACCTGAGGTGTGCGTCCATCATATTTTGTCAAAATAGTGGTTAACGAAACCTAAGAGCAAAAAGGTTAGAAATATAAATTCAATATAGATACGACAGTCATTGATTTACCTGTGGAATAATATTCTTTTCTATTTCATCTTGAAATAGCGGAGGCGGTGGCAGATCCAATGTCAAATAGAGGAACGGCGAATTCTTTGTAGTAATTTCTAATAAGAAATTGATTTATTCAATTGATCATTTAAAATGTGCAAACTTATATATAGATATATAATATGAATAACATACCTCTATCAACATCAAATAATAATCTATCTTGTTCATCACTGTTATCTTTAACAATAACGGATTGCTGTTCCACCTTGAGCTCTCCTTGGAATATTTGATAAATAATACCTTTAAAATAGAAGGTAGTTTATGAAGCAAATGTTGTGCTTTAATAACAGCTGAAAAATAAGTTGTTTTTGTAGTACGTACTGCTATCAGATTTGCGCGTTCCACCCAAGTCTTTATGAAGAGCATTCAAGAACCACGACAAAAACTCAAGCGGATCACTTTGATCCGATAGTTTGAATCGTTTGTTACTGGCATTTGAAATCTCCTGCAAGAGTTCGTGGGGACTTACTTGGCCTTTGAAGGCTCGCGGATTCCATATTTTTCGAACTAGTGTGCTAAATCGTTGAACTAACCAATTATAATTATAAAAATAATAGCATAAGGAATGAGGATCAGAAATCACGAAAATAAGTGACAGCCAGAAAAATAAATACCTAGTTCTGAATGTTCTTCGAAATTTTGCAAAATAAAGTAATCTCGCAGTGGTGGAATGTGAGCCAAAGATTGAATAATAATATTGACGTAATCATTGGCCTTAACATTATTTAGACCGACGAATCCTATTTAATTAATCAAATAAATTCAATTAAAGCGAAAAAAGTCAAAAAGAGAAACCTCCATCGCGGACACGATTCGATATAAAAGACATGTTTACCAAGTTGTTACCTGGTAAGTATTTTTTATTGTTCAAGTCATATGAATGTTTGACGTTCTGATCCAGCTGGGCTACCTGTTCTTTCGTGAAAGTCGGATGCAGCACATACTAATGAATTTCCCAATTCATAATAATAAGTATCCCAGTACTTAAAAATAAATTAAAAAATCACATATATATTATTAATTAATCACCTTAATATCCTCCAACGAAGAATCAATAACTTCGTACCCATCTGGCAAAACGTAGACCTATGTCAAACAGGCGCACACCGAAGAAAGTTCCGATAACAATTGGTGAAAATCATTGGTTCTAATTCAACCAAAATTTAAAAAGTAGATACCTTCTTAGGCAACATTTCATTGATCAGATAAAATTTAGCCTACTTTAAGAGTGTGCAAATTTATAAACACGTGATGGTCTTCGTGTAAACTATGGAAATAGGCGTGTGATTGGCGTCCACGTCCTAACAATATTTGCAAAATTGGTGTATTTCAGTGCTTGGTATCTTTTGCATAAAAGTATGCCAAGATACTTTATTTTTATTACAAAACCTTGAAAATATTTGCCACACACTAAACACGCATATACATTCAAATTTGACAAAGACACCGAACAGACTTTCTCAAAATCAAAGTCGAGCATGTGTCGATTTATCTGTTGTAAATCATAATTTTGTAAGAAATTTTGAATTTCATTGATAAAGTAGATAAAAACACTCTTACTGTGTCAAGATAAAGATCACTAGAGGCAGTAGGGGTCGCAGAGATACCTTCAACCCGCCGTCGTTTTTTTGTTTCTTGTCCAGAAACCCATTCTTGGTCCTCCTCTTCTTTAATGACCTCACTTTGCTCGTTTTCAAGCAGTCGCTTTCCGGTGCCTAGAGAAGAGGAACTGGTTTCATGATTAGAGTTTCGTCAGGTTTGGTCTTCGACTTTAAAAAAGACTTCACCTTTTCCTTTTTCAGGGTTTTGTGTGTCAGTTCGTATTGTAGTGTCGCTAGACATTATTCACTAGTTGGGCAGAAAAATTTTAAAAAATGATACAAATAACGATCAGATGATCAGCAGTTTGCATAAATTCTATCAAATTTTCTTCGATTGAAAAACAACATTAACAATGAAGCTAGTCAGGTTGGTATCGAATACATACTATTCACTAGTTATTGGTGAAGTTACGCGCGTTTATTTACTCTAGTTGATAACTCTGATCATGTATATTATAATGAAAAAGGGACTTGAGAACGATATTTTGGTCTTGGTTCTTTCACGCGGCAAAGTTTTCTATAATTGCTACTAGAAATGGTTTACTGCTGCGTGCATTCTTTTGAAAGGCCTTTATTTAAAAAGGGAACATTTTTCTTTACACACGCAACTTATAATAGTTTTCAATGGGTTATTTGATAGTCCGAATAGCTGTTTGAAGCTTTCTCTCGAAACAAAACTTACATAATTTTCTTTTCACTTTTAAACAAATTTCCTCTGAACTAATTTTCTGTAGATTTTTGATGAAATTGAACAATGAAACGGTCACGATAGAACTCAAAAATGGAACCATAGTACACGGAACGGTCACAGGTTTGATTTTTCATGCAATTTACCTTGATCTAAAAGTTTAATGGTTCACATCTTTAAAGATATTCTTTACGTCCTTAATCTTGAACAGGAGTAGATATGAGTATGAACACGCATCTCAAACTCGTGAAAATGACTGTACGAAACAAAGACCCTGTAAACTTGGAATCATTGAGTATCCGTGGAAATAATATCAGATATTATATTCTGCCTGATTCACTGCCACTTGATACACTGTTGATCGATGATACTCCAAAGGCGAAAGCGAAGAAGAAAGAAGGTCTTTACTTTTATTTGTATTTTTTTTTCATGGGGAGGGGTTTAGTTTGCTTTAATCTTAACATATAATTTTTTGATTATGAAAGCTGTTGGTATCGGCCGTGGAAGAGGACGTGGACGTGGGCGTGGCGTACGCGGTCGTGGCAGGGGTCGTTAGAATTTGGATATTTATATGCAACTTACGCGTAAAAATGACTATAAATGGTTTAGTAAGGGAAAATGTACCTTTTAATGTATAAAAAGCGGGTGCACAATTACAATAGATTTTACAGATTTACATCAGTGGTTGGTTCTATAGTAGGAATCTTCTTCGCTCCGGTCGTATATTACATGGAATCATCCTATTCTAATCTTTCAAAAGAAAACTAATGCAATTGTATTGGCTTTATGAAAATAAAACAATTTGCCGAGAGATCAAAATCTATTTTGGGATTAATTTCTGTTAATCAATTATGAGTCATAGAAGCTGACTTTACCACACATTTACATCTAATTATAATTATGAAATAATGAGCCAAAAATACATTGTTTCAATTCTACAGTCGTGTATGTTTTCAGTTCGCCATACTACTAAATACTCGAGCACCATAAAACATTTACCACGACAACCAAAAACTCAAAATCTAGTGCTCCGTTCTTTCGCTACCTCTCGTGGTGGCGACAGTTGGTCTGACCTATTGATACAGGTTACCAAGAACTTTGACTTGTTGACGAATGCACGAAACTGGGAAAAGACTAAACAAGAAAAAACTACTTTGGAAGAAGAGCTACAGGTTTGAATTTATAATATTCTTTACCAAGTTTTTCGTATGGAAAGGAAATTCGTCTTTTTACTTGGTTTTCTATTTGGCTTTTTCTCTTTAGAGTAGGCAGAAGTTGTTTGGAACGCTCGAGCTTCTGCCTTACAGAAACGCGTAGCACTCCTTGATCAGGATCTTGAAAGATATGATAAACTTCAGAGGAAAATGATTGAAATCAAGGAGCTAGCAGGTACCCCTCAAAAGTTCATGCATCTAATTTATTCAAACTAGTGTCTCGAAAAAATTTACTACCAATAGTTTTTCGATTTAATTAGAATTAGCTCACCAAGAAAATGACGAGGAATTGATGAGTGTTGTACAAGAGGATGGACAAAGATTAAATACGGAATTGAACAAATTCACCTTGAGATCTTTTATGTAAGAAGAGTAATTTTTTCTTTTCACGAATTTTTGTTTCTTGGTAGACCTTTATTAATAGACTAAAATGTATAGGTCAGAGGATGCTGATGAAAATGGATGCATTGTTCAGATAAATCCTGGCGCTGGTGGCGACGAAAGCTGTGATTGGGCTGGTATGCTCTCTAGAATGTATGAACGGTGGGGAATAAAGAATGGGTTTCAAGGTATATAGATTTTATTAGCCGATTTCATGAGTTTTTTCGAATAATTTTTCATTATTGATTTAACAAATTTTCTCTTGGCCCAGTCAAGATAATAGATTATGTCAGAGGAGAAGTTGCAGGATGTAAGTCTGTTTCAATCCAAATTGACGGTGAATACGCGTACGGATGGTGTAAAAAAGAGTCAGGAATCCATCGTCTAGTTAGAATATCTCCTTTTGATGCCCAGGTTTGTCTGGATCAAATTCGTATCTTGTTGTTTTCTCAATTCACTATTAGAAATTTTATATCCGTATACAGCGTCGACGACACACCTCTTTTGCCTCTGTCAAAGTGTTTCCTGTTGTTGATGAGAAGGATCAAGACTCAAATTCTGACAATATTCCTTCCGGTGATTTGAAGATTGATGTTTATCGTGCTAGTGGGGCTGGCGGACAGCATGTTAGTAAATAATTTGTGTAGCTTTTCAAACTAATAATGGATAATTTTTAATAAATTGGTTGTTGCTCTAAAGGTGAATGTAACTGAAAGTGCGGTACGAATAACGCATGTACCAACAGGAATAGTCGTGCAGGTGATTAATTGATTACAAAATATATTATAAATGCAGAACGCGGAAAAAATCTGAAATTGACATCATTCTTTCACGTTCAGTGTCAAAACGAAAGATCACAGCATTCCAACAAGGCTTCGGCTATGCTGATGCTCCGCGCGAGATTATTTGAACGAGTATTAAGAGAAAAGTAATTACATTATGTGATATTTTTTTTCTATCCTTCGAATTGCAATTAAAATATTTTCGTAGGAATGAGATAAAGGAAGAGCTCTATTTTTCTCTTCCTGAGAACGCGTGGGGGTCACAGATTCGATCATATGTATTACATCCATATCAAGTATTGATATTTTTTAATAGTGTTTTTCTCTCGTTTTTCCCAAAGAACGCGCGTCATTTATTAAATGAAAAGGTGAATTAATATATTACTGATTAGCTCATTAAGGATCTAAGAACTGAACACGAAACTTCGCAGACCGAATTTGTATTGGAACAAGGGAATCTGAATGAGTATGATGATAGATCTTTTCTTGTGTAAATTTTAATTATTGTGTTATTGAACATTAGATTTGATTAATCTTTTTTTGTTCTCTAACAGATTTTTAGAAGCTAGCTTGATTCATTTTCATCGTAAAGACAAATAGATAGATAGCTTTCACTTAATAAAGAAAAGTTCTGTAGTGTTAAGTGCATATTATTAACTATTATTAGCGCTTGATATTTGGTAATAAAAAGTCGTAAAACTTGATAATTCACGCTGAAAAGAAAAGAATGTCGCAAGGGCAGGTGACCTTATTTTTACACATAAAAATAAAGTCTAAGTAACCCTTGCGTTACACTCGAAGACAATTTTATTGGTGCATTTCTTCATAATTATAAGAATAATTATTCATACACTTTAGATTTAATTGTCCATCAAAATTTTAAAAGATAACATTTTTATTTATTGAACCAGAATGTTGGACGGGATAAGGTAATTTGTAGTGGTTAGATTATTATGGGATTATTGTAGAGGCAGATCATGTGCGTTGCACATAACGGGTTACTTCCTTCACACATATAATTTTTGATAAACCAGTAACAATGGGGTTCTCAATGTGTACAGAGTGTTCAACATAATTAAATGATCTGAAGTAGAGAATAACGATAACATCATTGAAAGCAATAAATAGAATGTCTTCTCACGTTTATCTTTTTTTGATACTAAGATGACACCCGAATCCCTTTTGGCTTCGCATTCAAATCGATTTTCAAAGTTCTATGAAAGTTCCAACAATTATGATGTTTCGATAATTGTGGGAGCTCAGTGTGCATTTCCAGCGCATTTCTCGATTCTAGTAGCGCATTCACGATACTTTGCAATGAAACTTTCTGATATGTGGATACAACGAGAGCTTGATAAACCGATTTTGTTTGAAAAATCGGATATTTCTCCTCAAGTTTTTAAAATCATATTAAGGTAATTATTCATATTACGTATGGTGCATAACATCTAAAACATCTTTTTTACTAATACTAAGAAGTAAATACAAAATTTAATCCGTGAATATGCTCAGAAAGGGTCTATTCTATTATATTCACGGATTAAATTTTGTATTTACTTCTTAGTATTAGTAAAAAAGATGTTTTAGGTGTTAGTATTAGTAAAAAAGATGTTTTAGTGTTAGTATTAGTAAAAAAGATGTTTTAGGTGTTAGTATTAGTAAAAAAGATGTTTTAGGTGTTATAAAATATAAACGTTTGATGACTTTAGAGTTACGTATGCACCATATACATGTATACGAGAAACATCTGGTATCCGAATTTTTCTCTTATATACATGCGATATCTTGCACATTAAAAAAAAACAAACTAGTGGATTTATAGAGGCTAGAATATGTTGAGCTTTTTAAAAAATATTAAAATTTTGAAAAAGCTTGCATTTCAACATATCGATATTCTTGTAGCCTATACAGCCAACTTTTGATGAATTTATATTGTTTACAATAGGATCTGTACGTCGATCATTATTAAAACGGAACGTAAAATTAGGGAATTTTATTTTATAACTTTTTGATGAAAATAAAATTTTTAATTTTACTATGTTTTGATAGTAAATTTCGAAAGTGGTTCATTACTTTTGTAAGCCACTGTATATGGTGCATTAATGCTCAAAACTCGCATAATAAAAGGATATAAAATGTAATATCATCATTTCTCAAATAAATCTTGGGATTTAAG